GACCAAATCAATCCTCTTATTAAGCCATAATATATGCCAGAAAGTACATTATTTCATATTTAAGGAAAGTTGTCACATGAAACAGTAGGTACTTCGATCTCTCAAGCATTGCTCCTAATACATTAGAAATGTGCAATATAATCCAATAGTGAGTCATATCTATTTATACTCACTTTGTAAGTAAAATAAAATTATACTTTGCTAATCTTAAGATTTTAGACCTGGATTCTACGTTACTTCTTCCTGTACATACTAGATATTTGCTAAAATTTGAAAAGAGATTTTGGCTATTTACTGAATTCCAGAAAAAAAGAAAATTCAAATACTTGTATATACTAGGAAAATAAAAATGGTCCCAGAGGTTAAACAATCATTATTGTAATATAAATAAATTGAATTTCATTGCAAAAACATCAGGTAGAAAGTACTCCAGTGGCATTAGCACAGAAGAGAAGAGGCAGAGAGGAGAAGAAAAGACATTTATCAGCCTTCACCAATATTTTGGACATAACCCAAGTCAGAATATCAAAAACATATTTTTTTAAATGAAAGCTTCAGTTTATTGGAGTTAGCTGTTTCTGAACAATTGCAAAAATTCACATGAATCCTGAAAAAAATCCGTCAGAAAACTAGACACCACATATCTTGCATGTTAAGGAATAAGATTTTTTGTGATGGATGTCAACAAGCAATCAATTCATAAATATTTGAGTATCTTCAATGTGTAATGCCAGGCTCTGCCAAGATTCCTATTCTGTGAATGTCTCCTCCACATCTGAATTTTCCTTGTGTGGCCATATAATTTCCTCCCCCTCCTCCACTTCAAGAATTTAAAAAAAAAAAATGCTCTGGTCTAATCATCCTCCTTCTTTACTTCCCATCACCATAGCCCACAACTAAGTCTCTTAGGGAAGAGACAATAAAAAAGTTTTAACCCAGTATTTCATAGATTGGCCTCAAATCACTTTTGCGTATATCCACCTATATGGAATACAAACTATAAAATTCTTCTAATTGGTCTTCTTTCTTAGTTGGAGTACTTGTCTTTCTATGGTCCCGTTTGATGCCAGAATAACTCTTATTCCTATGCTGCAGGTCACATTATCTAGGTATCGCTAGAGTAAGGCCTAGTCTTTTTGTTCTGGTCTCCTTTCAGCGGATTGGATTCTAAGTGTGGGTGTAGTATCAGTTCCTCACTTCCTCACAGTATGCTCTGTACTAGTGTGAAAACTGGCTCATATCTACTTCTCCATAGGGATTGACATGCAATTCCAAAATCTATAAAGCATGCTCAAAGATCTAGAGGGTTCTGGGAAGATCTAGTGGGAAGGCATGAAAAATAAATTGGTAATATTAATAATATTATGAGACAAAGACAATGTTTTAAGATAGCACATGACAAATTCCATATAAGTTAACTAAACATAATAACTTCCAAGAATCATATTAAGGAGAGGTCACTGATTATGGTGAGTGGAGAATGTAGGATATCAGCTTGGAACTATAAGATGGATAGAATCGGATTAAGAGCAGTAATAGGAAGCAAAGTTACAGATCCCAGAAAGCACAAAGTGTATATAGGGTACAAGTACAGCAGTTTGCCTGTATTCTTATCGGCAAGTATGTAAAACAGAAATAGCAGTAGGTCAGAATGAAATATTTCCATTTTCATCCATAATTTTAGCATCAAGGTGATGTAGATGAAAAGAAAACAGAATATCCAACTTTTATATATTCAGATGAAAATGTATAGATCAATCAAGGTATCAAATATATCTTGACATACTTTTTACCATTAATTTTTAGAATTTATTCTAAGCCACTAGATTGGGGAGCAATCATGTAGCATACTTTAATAATGCAGGGCATATTTTAAAAAGCAGTAATGGTTTGGGATTTTAATCCTGGCTCCAACACATTATTAACTAAAAATTTATTGTGAAGGTCCTACTCTATAAATATTCATTATGAAGGCTCTGTTCTAGGCTCTGGAGATGCGGCAGTCAGCAAAACAGAGTAAGTGCCTGCTCTCATGAAACTAAGTTTTGATCAAAAGTTTCCTCATCTGTAAAATTAAATCAATATTAGTGATTCTATTAAAAGAGAAAACATATTTTAATATAATACAATTTATTTATTATTTCTATATTAAAAATATATTACATATAAATTGTTTATAGACATTTAATAGTGTCTACTAAGTTATAACTGGTTAAAAAGTCTATATAATAATCACATGTATTACTATATCATATCAGGATTTCTTTTTTTTTTTAATATATTTTATTGATTTTTCACAGAGAGGAAGGGAGAGAGATAGAGAGCTAGAAACATCAATGAGAGAGAAACATCGACCAGCTGCCTCCTGCACATCTCCTACTGGGGATGTGCCCGCAACCCAGGTACATGCCCTTGACCGGAATCGAACCCGGGACCCCTCAGTCCGCAGGCCGACGCTCTATCCACTGAGCCAAACCGGTTTCGGCAATCATATCAGGATTTCATTACAATTGGTTTAGTTTTCATATTTCAGAAACATATTTTTGTTTTCAAACAGAACAATTTAGTAAAAAAGAAAGGGAGCAAGAATGTACATTAATTAGAAGCCCTGGTTTTAAAACTTAGTTCTACCATTTTATTAGTTATGTGATCCTAGACAAAAATGGACCATCTGTGCATCAGTTTCCTTAACTATAAAATAAGGATAAAATTATTTGATCCACCTACCTCACAGAGTTGTTTCAAAGAATAAATGATAAATTTCTAATGTAAATGTTTATATATAAATAAAAGTTAACTTATCCCCATCACATGCCATGTTTTGTATATGAAAATTACAAACCCTTGTTATTTGGAGCTACGTAGACAGAAGAAGAGTACTAGAAGAACTTATTTCTCAAGTGGATCAAAATTACCCACGAATTAAAGCCCTATATACAAAATGAAGCATTCTTCTCGTTTCTACTATAAGATCATGCCTTACTACATGGAAGTATGTTTAAAGCTTTCAGCTTAACTCTGTTACTTTACACAATTCTAGGAGATATTAAGAGAAAGGTATTTATTAAGAAAAATAACATTTTTTTTGTAACTAAGACTATCAAGTATAAAGCTGTGTTACTTACATGAGACTATTTCTGTCTTTTAGCCCTTTTAATGGAAACCTAGACTGTTAAATGAAATGGGAAAAGAAAGAAAGAGGCAAAAAGACATAATAAGGAAAGAAGTAAAAATGGCAGAAGTGTAAAAGAGATAAAAGAATTAAAGAAAATGACAAAGGGAAAGAGAGCAAATCTTAACAATGAAGCAACATAAAAAGATATTGTCCCTTGGTGTAAGAAAAAAAAAAATCGATGCTGGGATAAACTAAACAGATGTGAAAAACAGAATAAAGAAAATGCACACATACAAGAGAACAAAGAAAAAATCAAAGCAATGGCGACAAGATAAAGACAAAATAGAAAAGAAGAGATAAAACCTACCAGACAGATGTCAGACATAGATGCTTAATCTGTACATATCATAGGCAAATAAAAGAAACTGTATAAGAAGAAATAAAAAACAATACCCAAAATCACTTTGTGTGCATTTCACATCAGCAAGTGAATACTCATAATGATTTCTATATTTCATAAACCTTACATAATCTGCATTTGGGATTTGGATATCAGAGACAGTTTTTATAAAAGTCTGCCTTCAGATAGTGGTTGATAGACTGGATCATATAACAAAAAGCTGAGGACAATCGATAGAGAAGGAGATATGACCCTGATGCAGTCACAGGAAGAAAGGCAGTAACATAACTGCATTAGGAAAAGCAAGCTCCTTACTGATTCCAAGTCTAACTGCTCCCCCACCCCAATAATATATTAATTAACAAGATGCTTTTCAGAAATTTAAATATTATAATCTGCAAAACTTACTCTTGGCTCATTGTTTGATGTGCTTTGGGTATTCTTGGTCAAGAACACATGTTTTGGGGTTTTGAGAATTGATACGTGGCTTTCGCTGCTATTTACATGTCATAACTTACTCAACAGACTGACATATTATCAAATGTCTTGAATACTTTCAGTACCATTCTCAGAAGTATAGTGATTATGCCTTGAACTAGAAGTATATTCAAGAGAATAACTTTGAAAGCCATGTATTTCCCGTGCAAGGTAGTATAAAATAGTTTATTAATGAGCTTTTAAAGTAAATGTAAAAATAGCTCAAGCTGAATAATCTCAAACTTTAATACTATCTTATTGTATAATTTATAAAATGTTAATTATCTATGTTTAAATGTTCTGAATTGTTCACTTTGGAAGAACCTATCAATTTACTATTTTACATACCCTGTAGCATTTTTTACATGCCTTACTATTAAATTATATTTCTAGAATCCATAAAAAGAGCTTTGAAAACTGCATGAGTCTGTTTCATATATATAATACACAGTGTATATCAAGCAGAATGTGTCAAAGTGCAAATAAAATTGTTTGTGCCCCCTGCAGAATTAGAACTCCTTGGGCAGTACTGCTGTAACGATTTCATGCTGCTAGCATTACAAAGTGCAAAGGTTCACGGGGCAAGAAAAAAGCAAATGACAGAGTTCCCTTACTACACTATCCCCAAATATTCTGGCTTAAATATTTATTAAGATATTAATTACTCTTCCCACCACTATCTGCCCACAGAAGTTAAGCTGAGACACGGTGGATGGGTGGTTGCTTATAGAAAAACAACACATTAAAACTATCACCACTCGAGATGAAGACTGATGTTTCGTGTAGTGCATTATTAACTGCTTTTGAGACTTATATAAACTATCACACTGATATAAGAATAATGTGTTTGTAATTTTGATTTAAAAAGCAGAAACATTAAAAAGTAGCACCCATGGAAAATAAATGGTTAAAAATTAAGGAATTAACAGCTTCTTTCAAAAAATAATTTATATGAAGTAAACATAAGGAAAATAATGAAGAAAAGTAATGATCTTACTTATTACTTACTCTGATATACAACTGCATCATTTCTTTTTCTCTTTGAGGGTTACGATACTTCTCATAGAAATCACGTCGCTTCTTTGTTTCTTTAGAGACTTTATCTTTTCTTTCCCGTTTTTCTGCTGGTTCATCTGAACTATCAGAAGATGACGGTACATGTATCTTCGGCTTTTCTACTTCAATATAGTTTTCATTGGGATTCAAAACTATTACTCCATATCCTTCCTGTTTAGAAAGAAAACACAGCTTAATTTAATCCTAGAAACCAATTCATAAAAGTTTCTTTAAAATTCCATGTTATTTAATATATTTGTATATTCATTAAAACATTTCTTCATAAAAGATTATAGTTTTAATTTTTCCAAAAGAAAGGTGTATAAAATTGTTTGCCTGGGTTGTTTATGTAAATAACCATACATTATTATAAGCAGAAAAGACGTAATTTTAACATAAAGATTATAAAGTTTAAAATGTTTAAAAGGTACTTCAGATCTTCTAGAACCCTAAAAATAATTGAAATAAACTGTGAATTAAAAGTACACTTTCAAACGACATTAATATTTATAATATATACTTTGAGAAAATAACCTCTTTAAAATTGAAGTTCAAGATTCAAACTGCATTTTGTTGGATTTTTCTTTCCTTTACAATTTGTGATTCAGTAAGCATTCTTTGTTTGAATGGTAAAAAGGAATAATATAATCTAATATTTATATATGTATATTATAATATGTATATTGTCATAAACATATACATATAGTGTCTACCTCTGTCCCTTGGATTTTTTCCCCTCTCTTCTTTCAGAAAGCCACACAAATCATAAAACAAAATAAATTAATCTTAGTGTAATGTATGGCAGCAACACTTTAACTCTGAAATTGCTTTCTTTTAGATTTTTTAACTACCATAAAAATCTCTTTTCATAAAGAACTAATACAAGGAAACAAGTTTCAAAATTTAAAATACAGCTCATTGAGCTATTAAGCCTTCTAAACATTTTAAAAGCATATTTCCCTGATTTAATGCTAGCAAGGCAAACACTTCTATGGTTATCATTAAGAAAACTTTGGTATTTATATTGTTAGAACTCATGGAATATTCTACCATGAGAAAATAGAGAAGAGTAAACAATTACCACTGACAAGCATGCACAACACACATTTTTGAAAGAATTATGTATCTTGTCTTTTCTATTCAATTCTGTTCTGTGGGTGTCCCAATTTTGCCTTGCACAATCCTGTAAGGTCATACTTAAAACATGTATTATACTGTGGTAAAAACATCAGAGCTACAAAACATAAAACTTTAACAAATCATCCTTACTAAAAAAAAAAAAAAAAAAAAAAGTAAATACATTTCCAAAACTGTAGAATCTTCTACTTCGTTTGAAATTACATTTTTGCCAAACTAATATATAAGAAGATGATTTTAAAAAACTGATAGCAGTAATAATAGCATAGACTCAACTATCTTATTTTTAAGTATGCTATATTGTTGCATGTACTTGTTTTTTTTTTTAACAGCTGATTTCACAAACCAAGTACAAACTTCACTGGGATCCTTTCAACTCTACCCCCCTTCCTCAAGAGATATTATTGTCTAAAACCATGGTTTAGAGACTTTGAAGATCATTTAAGTTCTGATTTTAGTGATAGGACTGTTAATTAAGATATAGTTGTCTTACATACATGAAAACTATATAATGTGTACCAAATTGATTAACAATATCCCACATATTCTTCAATATGTGTTTGAATAGAACTTTTAGATACATACCTCTTTCATGAAAGCCTTATAAAATACTTTACAAGACTTTAAATTTAAACGTTCTACATCAAAGCACAGAAGGCTTTTTTTTTTTTAAGTTTCTTAGCTGGTAAAACAAAGTTTTACCAACAAAAGATATTTTATTTGGTCCTGCTTTATTCTAATCTGTATAGCTATTCAAAAGTCTTGTAATTCATTGTGATCACTGTCAGGTAGACAGATTGTCACTTGGTGATTTTCTACAGTTGGACACACTTGACTAGTTATTAAAATCACATTTGAAGAAATTCCTACCCCTCTTCCTTGTGCCTCTTACAACTTTTCACGCCCTTCTCAAATTTCAGCTATAACTTCTCCTCCCACCAAAAGTAAGTTAAAGAACACTGTTGCACTCTGCTAAACAGGGTGAAATAGAGGCATTCAGTACACTCTCTCTGGTGTAGGGAACATAGTCAAAAAAGGTCACCATAGGCCAAGAAGAAAATTGCCTCCTTACTAGTTTCTGTACCGAGAGTAAGTGGTCTCCTGTCATGTTTCTTCCCTGCCTTCTCTGAGTGAAGTGAACTTTAAATACACACACACACGTACTCTCTCTCTCACTTACACATGAGTTAAAGATGAAAACAGTGATATACTATATTTTAATGATAATTTCAAAAATTTAGACATGATAACAAAGTGGGACTTCAATTGGTAGAACATTAGTATCCTCTGCAAAAGGAATGAATTCCCAATAAAGACAAATACTTCAGACAAAATTTTTGAGTTATAGGAATTACAATTCTTACCCTATTTTATAAGTTAATCACTGGAAAGATTTTCGTAATTATCAGGTTTATCTGAGCAGAACTTTATACTTCAATTTTTAGAAATCATGAATTGGAACATTATTGTGTCTATTTTATTTTAAATGGATTCTGAAATTTGATGTGTCCCATCTAAATAAGTATAAAACAGATACACATAAATCATCAAAGTAGTATTTGTCTAAGTTATTGATTATGTAACTGAAAATTACATGACTCATTTGTCCAATTTTAAAAAGACACAATGTCAATTTTCACTGAGGCACCCAGAGATGAAAAATGATTCTATTTTAAAATCACCACTATACAAATCAATTAAATAATTTTTTATTATTTTTATTTTAACAATGAATGTTTCTCTTTAAACAAATGAATTATTTAGAAAATATTTTACCCTTTAGCTATTTCATACTGTCAATTTAATTAAGGTAACAAATATTCAGGAACATTTTCCACAGAAATGAAAGCTAATTTTAATAAATGTCTTTGTTGAAAATTTAATTACCATTCCATAAAATCTTACATTTTTCAATTAAAAATTTTCTGATAAATTAATTAATGCAATATTCACAAAGACCATTCATAACCATATTATAATGAGTAGGAAAAAGCTAAGTAACAAAGATAACTATCCATTTATGTGCTCTAATCATAGATATACAATAAAATTTCATCTTTTTCTTCTCTCTGTCACATACGAACACTGTCAAACAAGTCCCCTTACATAATAAAACTACAAAGATTTTTGCCATGTCAACCTTAAGATATGGAAGTCAGAGAGTTAAAGCAGAAAACAACAGTAGTTAAATTTACCCACTTAAGGTAGAATAATATTAATTTATATCTTTTTAAAAATCAGAATACCGTTTTAAAAATAAATTCTTTCTATTCCCAGTAACTCAATTAGTACACACAGAAAGAAGAGAAAAAAGATCCTATTTTGACCTTTAACAAATGCTCTCATAAAGTTTTTCAAAACTACTGTAAAAAATCTGGCATCAATTCAATATCATAAAAGAACTTTGCATTGCCATTCTAACAAGGGGCATTCTAAGTATTCTAATACTTACAACCTTAAACATTTTATATTAAAGTATTCCTTTTATATTTAATTATTCCTTAAGCATGCTAAGTTGCTAACAAGATGAAAAGTTAGGTCATTTCAAATATACATGTAGTTTTTTGTTATCTTTAACAAGATAGAATGATCAAACTGATTATCTAACACTGTACAACTAAATAAATAAAACTTTTAGCATGTCTCATACTGATTTACCCAAATCAATTCCAATATCCAACATTTCAAGAGACAAAGCCTACATGAAGTTGTAAATTAACTGTTATTTGACCAAGAAAGTAATAAAGAGGACAGATACTGGTAAAAGTAAGCTTTATCTCTTTAATTTATCTCATTGCATTTTTCTATTCTTTTTTATAGCTATAACTGTAGTTTCATTTTCAGATCAGTGTTCATATGGTATAACCATAGGATCTTAATCTGAAATCCTCAAAATTTTATAGGTAGATATAGCATTTTATTCAGCACAAGTACTTGCTGTGATTGAGACAAAATATATAGGCCTCCAGGCCTTCTTTACTTTGAAGTCTAGAGATGCACTTACTAATAAGTAATAGTTCATTTATCATTCAATCAACAAATGATGGCTTAGGTCAGAGAGGTCTAAAACAAAGAGGTGGTGCCAAACACAGAGAGGAACTCTTGCTATAGAAATTAAACCAGAATAGAAATGTACTTATCAAGAATATTTTACACTACATATATTTTTTAAATGCCTGACCAAAAGCAGAATGTACTTTTGACCCCAGAAGAGACCTTGCTAAAACTGAAGATTTAGCCAAGTTAATTTACCTAATAATTACCAATTATAAAGAAAATTAAAAACAGGAGCAAATTCTATATCTTTTCAACTCTTCTGTGGTTGGCTAAATAAAAAAAAATCAGCTGAAAGTACTGAGCTCTGCGTATTAACCTTCCAACACTACAAGCCACATGTGACCAAAGGGGTCAGGGGCCAAAGTAGAATCCTTTGACCTATGGAACTATCCATTTTGATCTTCAGGCAAGGCTCTGTAAGAGATCATTTTACACAAATTTATCACTCATATTTTTCAAGTTCAGCATTCTATTTGCTTGGGTTGAAAGACGATAGGTGTTCTTCCTCAAGGGAAATGAAATCCAAAGTGTTTATAAACTACATTTACCCATGGTTAAAATGGACAAACCACTGTCCATTCATCTTTCCTGAAAGATGTATGCTGTGTTTATTCTCATCTTTTTCACAAGAAGGGTATGTACATATCACTGTTGCAACATCCTACATGCAACAGTGAAAAGAGGTCATGACAACCTATCAGAAGTCACTAGTGGAGCGTTAAAGTAAACATAGCTGTTGGAGCTGCAGCTCTGCTTGAAAAATGCCCCCTCCATTATTTCAGCAATTTTCTCAAGACGTGACCTGGGACTGAAATGCCTGAAATGTCACTTGACTCTGTTCTGTGCTTCTTCCCAATGTGCATTTAGGTAACAGCACCCTACTAATATCTTGTAAATTGTTTGTCACAGCTATGCTTCAACCTGTAGCTACCTAAATTCTAATGTATACTCCATAGTATAAAAATACCATAATGTGA